GGATTGTGGTACCCCAGAGGATAAATTACGTTTAGCTATTATATATTACATTTGCACGAATATGTCAGACAGTGAATACAATAAACTTGAGTCAGCGTTGTCCGCCGCTGGATGTGATTTGAATCCTCTAGTTTATATAAAAAGATTAAGAAGTTACACTAGAATAGCGGAAATTCAACACAATTATGAGGGCGGCGGAACTAAGACCGTCAGTATGTTTTCGAAACTGATGAATCAAGGATCATCCTTCGTCATGGAAGGAGTAAAAAATTTAGTCGTTAAGAAACATAATCTGCCGGTTACAAAAATAGTCGATGAGCTAATGGAATCGAAGCAATCGTCTCAAACAGATGATTATTGTTACTTGGATCCAAAGCAGTTGAAGCATACAGAACAGATGCCAAAGAATAAACCAACATTCCAAGATGTAATCGTTTTTGTTATTGGTGGTGGGAATTATATAGAATACCAAAATCTGGTGGACTATGTAAAACAGAAAAGTGGGGCTGGAGTTAATAAACGGATCACGTACGGTTCGACCACGTTCATTAACGCGAAACAATTACTTAAACAACTATCACTCTTGGGACAAGAGGTATACTCGTAAAGTTTACGAATTATACGATGAATATCGTAAACAAGAAATATTTATCACGTACTTTCTTATAGCTAATTTTTCACTTTGCTGTTATCGATTTCTTGTAAAAATGTAAAATAAATAAAACATGATTAATTATTTTAGATATAATTTTTCTACATATATTCAACCCCTACTTTAACATAATGTAAAAGTACGAGTATCTCGAATTTTGTCAATCAACTTCAACGTAATTCGGTTCAAATTGAAGCTAAAACTTCAAGGAATAATATTCTTCTGTGTCACTACAATATCTACTCTATTTTTTAAATTACGAGTGTTTGTTTAATGGATTTTCGGTTTGCTCTATTAATGACTGAAAGTAAATCGCGCCGGCGCCAAGAGCACAATGTAAATCTTTTCAAAAGGTCTCGTGTGTAGAATAGCTCAAGTCCCGTTGTTGTTTTACGTAGATAAATATATATTCTAATGCGAATTGTCAGAATGATCCACCATAAATGTAGACTAGGTTTTTATTCAACTAGCAACGTGAAACGTTTCGAAGTAACCGAAGACAAAGTCCCGTGGGACGTTGAATATCCAGAATACAAGCCAGTTGAGTACACCTCACCTGTTCTTAAAGGGAAACCATGGGCAGATCCGGAAATTGGCGAACCCTCGTTCAAACCAAAGTGGAATTCTCTTGACGGTAATGAATTGTATATTATTTATGTTTGTTCATTAAAATTTTCCATTTACTTTTCACCTAACCCTAAGAAACAACTACTTTAGCAATTCCATTCATGAGTTTCCACTGTCATGTGACAGATTCATTGAACTTTAGAGCTCAATGGACAGATTAACAATGCTGTGAGCTACATATCTTTGAATTTGTTCTACGAATATTATTGTACATGGGGGCAATCGTATATTCGTATAAAATTTTTAAAAGTACAGATGTTACTCATCAATTCGTTGTATGACTAGACTAATCTTGCTATTTCATCATCCCTAACTTCGAACGATATTATTCGATGGTAACATGTTAACATACTCTCGCGTGTGCAAAACTTGTGAACAGGAAAAATAAATCGCAGGAGTTTTGTGGGTGATTACGTTATAAATGAGGCCGGCTATCCTTTAAATCCCATCGGTCGAACAGGAATTGCCAAACGAGGTCTGTTAGGACGATGGGGGCCAAATCATGCAGCGGACCCAATCGTTACTCGTTGGAAACGAGACGCTCAAGGTGTTATAGAAAAGAACGAGGACACAAAAAGACCAATTTTGCAATTCGTTGCTATAAAAAGACGAGACACCGGCGCGTGGGCCATTCCTGGTGGAATGGTAGACCCCGGGGAAACGGTCTCAGCAACGTTGAAAAGAGAGTTCATGGAAGAAGCCATGAGCTCTTTAGGACAGGATAAAGAAGAGAGGAACAAGTTAGAAAAATCTATGAAGGAATTTTTCGAAAAGGGTGACGAGATTTATAAGGGATACGTGGACGATCCTAGAAACACGGATAACGCTTGGATGGAGACAGTAGCTTTAAACTTTCACGATGACGATCATAGCGTTTTTGGGAATATAATGCTAGTTGCTGGAGACGATGCATCTAAAGCCAAGTGGATGGACATTGATAATAGACTGAATTTGTACGCCAGTCATGCAGAGTTTATCAGGAAAATAGTAGAAAAATACGGCGCACACTGGTGAGAACTACGATTGCTTTTTTTAAGTACGTTTATTTCTTAAACTGAGTTTTATAAAAAAAATATATCTTCATACAAAGAAACATAAGTTTATCAATTAATTTGTACCACTTTACAAAAAAACGATGTATTTTAAACAAAAAATGATATATTACATGTATACGTGTATGTTACATAAGATAATATGTTATATGCTTAACGTAAATATATATAATCTATGTATCATCACAGATAATAGTATATACCACATATTATTTTGGAGTTATACTTTTTAAGTCATTCAATAAGAGTCCGCACACATACATAAAATTGGAAGGAGAAAATATTCGTGATAGTTAATGAGTTTATATGATACAAATGACAAGTTAATCATAGAAGCAAAGTAGTTAACAGCACATTTGTATGAACAATATGCTTTAAAAGAACACAATGTTAAATAAATATATTTTTTCCATTGAGATCCTATTTATTATGTAATAAACAGATTATGTCATAAAATTAAGAACTATGGAAGGGAGAATACGATATTTTTTATCTTAATAATATAATAAACGTTATAAAAAGGAATTCCGTTGCAGAGGAATTTTTAAATTATAAAAGACGATCGTATTTTCACTGTCGATAGTTCTATCCTTACACCCTAACATGGCACGCTACGATTATCTCACTCCACGGTAACTGGCAACATACTTGGCTCGTTTATGCCGAGCATATTCAAAAATAACTGTGTCGGATTTGTATATCCCAGCATAGATTGCTGACTGTCTGAATCTTCTAAAAATTCTACTTGAGACTGAGTGCTTAAGGAATTGTTGTAACTAATCAACTTTTTAAGCATCTGATTCACGTTCTTGTTATTTGGTAAAGTTTTCACGATACTTCTACGTTCATCAAGGAAGATTGTATCGTTTTCTTTTTGTCTCGATTGGTAATGACGTTTCTCCAAATCTAACGCATGCTGTGCCTGGCTTTGGCCTAACTCCGCCGCTTTCACGAAATAATCTCGCGCCCTATTGATATCTACCGTGAAACCACCTCTACCTTGGGCATGATAAACTCCTAAATTATAGGTAGCGTCCGCATGGCCTTGGTCTGCTGCATCGCTATAATATTTCGCAGCCTGAAAGGAAAAACAGAATGCATATAATCATTTTTATCGTACTATATGTCACGTATATATTGTTAAGATGTTGTACCTTCACATGATCGACCAGTGTCCCGAGACCTAGCTCATGACACAAACCTAAATTGAACATACTAGCGGCTGATGATAGGCTTGCGCCAGCAGTAAAATGTTTTAGAGCATCGTTGTAACGTCTCTCTTCTAAAGCTTTCAGACCGTAATGGAGCTCAAACTCAGCTACTGCTAATTTATGCGTATTAGCAAATTCTTCAGTGGCTTCAATTAGGGCCTAGGAATATGTAGAAGAATAAATATTAAAAGGGATAATCTTTAACTGGACGAAATAAGTTTACTTTAGGAAGGAGATGAAATAAAAATACTGAAATACTATTTTTTGCTTATAATATACATAATAGATTATGAATTACAATGATTTACAATAAAACACAATTACAAAATGATTTATTAAAACAGATTACAAGTTACAAATACTTGTACATATAAAAAAAAATAGATACCAGATTACATATTAATAAAATAGATAATACATGGGAAAAAATGCATTTAATATCACAAATCAAGTATGAATTATGTTTAAATAAATATAGGTTGTCAAATAAGAATGACTTAAGATGTTACAGTTGTTATGCAATAAGGTAACACACTTATGTTAACAGATTTAATTATGAGATACATGTCATCTTATTGTAAATTCTTTTCTTTCACAAATTGTAATTTCTACAAAATAACATCCTCACCTCTTCAACGGTGATTGGTCCATATGGTTTGTCAGGATACCAATCTGATTCACTATTCTCCTGAGCATATATTTTATTATTGCCAATACAATTGATACTAGGTAGTATATGCTTTGGTCTTAAGTTTAGTACTTGACTGATCAAGTATGAAGTACGGGTTTCAGGAATTTGTGACAATTTGCTTTTGAACTTTAAATCTTTTTCCTTCTCAAAGAGTCTTCTTCGAAGACATAATGATTGGCAAACAACCCATCCAACAGCCAACACACTAGACTGTTAAAAAATGATTATATTACTCCTCTGAGCATTACTTATTTATGAAACAGTTTACTGGATTACAGATAACATTGGACTAAGACAGCATTGATTTAAAGATCAAATGTTGTGCATACAACTTCTAAAAGGGTTCTACGTCCAAATTTGGAAGCCCTAAATTTCAAATCTCGTTGTGACTGAGTAGGGCCAGATAAAAGAAAATTAGGAGATAAGGATGATAAACAAAACGGCGCAATTTACCCATCCTATGGCATCCGACCAAGTGTATTTTGTATTGTACTTGGAGTCATAATCCTTGTCTTTGGTTCCGGCAGTTTTCGTCGAGCCGCAGAATTCCTTATTGAAAATAGAGAAGCTCGGTGCCAGGAACTTGTGATTACACGTCAAACTGGTTTTAACCTCGTTCTTCGTGTTAGGCTCTTGAGGCGTTTGCGAATAAACGTTCGTGCGGCACGCGCGACGTTCTAGGGTTTCGCGGATACCACGAGTTATGAATTTCCACATGTTATTAAATGGTTACTGCGGCATAGAAGGTGTTAACGTTAAACAATAGGTTTATGATGTCACCGAAACTTTCCTTTGCGTGCTTGCCGCCGCATAGGACCATGCTCCGTACGAGGAACAGCGGCGCACTGAAGAATTTTGGACAGCCACAATTCTAGTCATTCTAGAAACTGTAGCACAAATTGCGCGCGCAAATTTGTCGCGAAATTCATTCCCTGCAAAAATGCAACACAAAATGCGTTTTTCCGTTTCGAGGCACTTGAATTTTATCTTACTACAATCCTTCGTTTAAATAGTACAAGGTCTTATTAATTTTCTGCATCTGAATACACAGAACCGCAATGAACAGGCACGGAGATTGTTAACAAGCATACTATATAGGTACATACTTTTTATCTGTAATTTATTTATTTGTTTCTTACTTAAAACATTAAAAAAACAAATAAAAATAGTTTCTAAAAGTGTATACTTTCTTAAGTATATTACATTATTGTGTGGATACATTGAAATAGCTTTTTACAATTCTATTGTTGCATTATAACAGTAAAAACCCGTTTTCTCCCCCCGAATATTTTAAGATAGGACCATCACAACGATATAAGCGTATTTTAAATACATATAACAACATTTTACTACAGTACATTATAAAAGATACATTCATATACTTTTATGGTGTTTAAGACGTATTTAGAATTACGTTCAGCAATATCTCCAGTTTTTTATAACGACACAATTTCAATATATTGAATTTAAAAACTAAACGCTTCGTAAATGTTCGCTCCAAGCGTTTTAAGTTCGTTATTCGTTATAAGATGTTGCAACAAATCGGTTTGAAAGTCTTCTGAGCTTGGTTTATCCGGTACTTGCCCATTTATGATCGGTATTATCTTCGCCATTCGCATGGATACTTTGTTAATATTTATAAACGAACTTGAATCATAGTTCATGCTTACACTACTCTGCCTCGAAGTTCCTGGCATCGAAATCCCATTTTGAACTGGCTTGCCGTTTTCTACCGGAGAAGAACTAACAAAGAATGCAGAAATATGGTCCACCAATAAATTGAAACCGCTTCTGATGCTGCTTTGCGTCAGAGTTTGTATCTCTTCACTCTCCAGAAGATCCAGAGTCTCATTGAATAATTTCAATAAAATAGGCGTCTGTTCTTCCTCGCAGTTAGCAAGCAGCGTATACTCAGCAAGATTCTTTATAGGATCCTTGGAAGTATCTGCAGATATAGAAGACATCAAGGTCCAATATATTTGTTCTAGGTCTCTTAGAGTCAATTCGTCTTTCAGAGATATCGAGGCTGTTATTTCGGCCACTTTGTCTTTTATGAGCGAGCTCAGTTTCTTGATTCCTTCGTATATGAAGTGACGCGAGAGCGACATATATTTCGTCTGTACAACATTTTCCGTAGTAGAATTATTCGAATTCTGGATGTCCTTGTATATGTGACCGCCCATCACGTTAAACTGGATTCTTATCAAAGTTGCTAACACAGAATACGAATATACTACTGTAGCACATCTAGCGATCGCTAAAACCTTCAACTCGTTCCAACAAGCTATTTTATCTGGACAACCGTTTCTAAGTTTGTTTATAATGGCGTCTGTATCCAAAACCTTTATTATCGAGTCTCGTAAATTCGACGTGAGGGACACTATCATTTGACTGCACGCCCGTTCTGTACATTCGAAGTATTGCCTTCGTTTTGATCTCTCCAGCATGTCTTTTATTTCTTTCTCTTGCCATTCTCGAAGCTTGCGTGCCGTGTATCTTATGAAAAAAACGCTACCAACTAGGATACCTCCTACTATAAACTTTCGCCTGTGGCGACTTACAAGCCCACGGATTCTTGAAAACATTTCTTTTTCTTTGAATTATACACAATATAAATTCTAGAATACTACATAATCTAGTGTGTCATAAATAGAATCAATATATTTTATCTAACATAATTTGATGGTCTATCTGTCAAATTTACTGCACGTCAATTTCTTTAGGACTGGACAGAACGATATTCCTTAATCTGTATGAGATAAAATTGCTTGTATCAATGAATCTGTCCACACAGTTCGCCAGACAAAGCTTGGTACCAGAGTCTAAGGCACGCCCAGGTGTACCCATGCACAGTTCCCAGCAAATATCAGTCAAATCGAGTGCAAATCTCTGAAAATACAAAACTACATTTACATGATTTTATGTATAACACTTACTGTCGATGAACAGTTAAAAAATATTGATGCAAGTAAAATTTAAATATTTTTAGATAGCAAAGAATATGTAAATTAACGTTATGTAAAATGCATACATGTGTTAACTACTAATTTTCACGTTATTTCTTTTATAGAATACAAATAATGAACTTAACACGTATGAACTGGAAAATTTGTTAATTAAAGGAATTACTTTGTTCAAATGAGAAGTTCGAAACATACGAGCTACTAGCTAACCTGAAACTCTTGGTGTTTACTTTCTCGCAGTATGAAAGCTTGAAATTGATCATCGACCACAACTTTCGACCTTTGCTCCTCCATAAATTTCATTCTTCAAGTCTCGCGAACAATACGTATTTCTGAAACAATTCAGGTATTCGATTTTTACTCCATTGTCATTTCTCTTTCTAATCTTCGTACAGACGAATTTTTATTTAAAAAAGGATTAATGTAATTTTTTTACATCGGTTATTTTTACGGACTGAGACCAAACTAGTCAAGGTAAATGAATGATGATAAAATTCAAGAATAATATCGGAGTTAGTACTTATTCGATATGCAAAATGAAATTTTACGACGTACACGAAAACGGTGCAGTTTACGATGTGATCATCCAGTACTGTCCTCTGCAGGCAGGTATATCACTAGTGAAGCAACGATACGCGTCGATAAAATACAACATCGTTTCCCTTCCTTCATTTATCGCATGTGTACTGTTATTTTCTTGATAAACTTATATAGATTTTTAATTTGATAAAGCCAACATACTGTCGATCGTATTTTATCGCTCTTAGACTTTTATTACGTATAAATAGAAACCTATTTTCTCTTATTTTGGAAACTACAGATTAGATTTTAAATAGCAGGTAAAATAATGCATTCGTAATACAAAGAAATATATATTTTATACAAAAATCCGTAGTGTAGAAGAAATCAGTTTTTGAAATCGAAACATATTTATTATCTTCATTGGGTACTTTTCTACATTCATCGTTACATTGATTTTAGATAGGCTTATGTACAAGTAAAGACGCGTAGGATGCGAGTGCGGATTATGATTCCGTTGGTGCATGTGTATGTATACAAGCGCATACATATGCAGGTACATATAAAGTTTATGCACCGAGATTAAATATGTAAGTGTGCAAGCCACGTGGAGGCATAGCGAATGACCCTGACTGGTTGCAGATCCTCGCGATTTTTGTCGCGGGGGGAATGGCTGTGTGACGGTCGAAAAAGGTCGGAGGACCGGGACAGAAGGGATAGGAAGATCGCTGAAGGACGCTCCTTTCAACCGAGAAACCGGTGGGTAGTGGGGAAGTTGGCTACACGTGCGACTTCCTTCCCCTTCTTTGCGTGTCCTCCTCTATCCGCCTTGGTCTTCGCAAGCGTGACGCGAACTCTTTCTCTCGGGCATGCTGAGACATGCCTTTCTGCACGCACTGCCAAATCATTATCGCGTCCCCTGTTTCTCGCCTTCCTGGAACTCACACCGAGAGACGTTTAAACGGTTTCGACGTTCTGTAATTAATACGAAAATAAGGGAACTTCAACCACTGTAATTAATTATCCAATGCATTCTTCTGTTGTTCAGAAAATGTTGTATTTTGATGTACATGCATTTGATGCATTTGCAAGTGAAAGTATAAAATAAAAAACGGTTTGTACGTTCGGTTCCAGCTGTCGTTGTGGTACATGCATCCTATAATTAAAAGTAAATTGGCTCGACCAAGGGCTTCCGTACCTTCTCTTTGACCAGACGATATCACAGAACTTCGCCCGTTAAATAAATGTGTTGAAATTCTCATTTCGTAACGTACCGATGTTTTTAAAACGTCAAACGAGAGAAAAAGAAAGATAGATAAAAGGAGGGAAAGGCGAGCGAGAAATGACTGTTATTTTAATGTAGATACACGCGAGAGATCTCTCCCGTGAACTATTGACAACGCCAGTTACAGGAAAATATGCGGTGACGCTATTTGATTACATGCTCAGTACGCATCAAATACTTAGAATGCAAACGAGCAACTTTTGTTTGCAAGAATAATAGAGTTTAATCTGGTTTCGGTCTCTCCAAACGAGAAAACATTATGAGCATTTAACATGAATATTGATAAAAATCAAACGCATGCTTTTTCAAAATGGTTCGTAAAAATAACTTTGAAGAAATAATCTCTCGTTATTCCATTTGAAACACTTGCATAGAATGCGATTCATTCATTTAGCTTTTGAATGCTTCGACCATTTACTTCGAGTATGAAGAGCGAGCAGCAATTTTTCATTTGCATATAATCGAATAATAATTTTCCAGACACTTGTTAGGTGAATATCGGCGATTACACTGAAATTTTACAATCAATAGGGAAATGTAGACAGCTATGGACGTAATTACCTAAGTAGAGGGAATGTAAATCATAGTATGATAACATTATGTATTTCTCACTCGTTTGTACTAATCAGATCGATACGATACGACCCAGCTCGTAATCAAGAAGAACACGTGCCGTTAGAGTTTGACATAGATTTCGCATCCGATTTAGAAATCATCTGGCACGGTTTTTAACGATTCGAGGGATCAAGAAGAACGATTGTCGCAATCTCTGCGTTATCATTTATAAATTTTATTTCTCACATTAAATGGATATATTTCATTGAAACATTACCTACACTTCTTATAAATACTTTATCTGTTAAGTATAAACTTATATTTGTATTAGGAAGAATGAATTACGTACAGGATTAGTTTCAACGAACTAGGAGAGCTCTGCATATGCATGGCATATGAATAATAATTATAGATAGTAGATTAAAAATAACAGGGCGTAACATAATGTAAATTGCTAATGTACCACTCAAGATAAAATATCAATCCTCTGTATCTAGTTGCTAATTTGTAGGCAATAGATAGATTTCAAGCATAAGTAGATAAGATTGTAAAGCTTTATCATTTAGGATTTATAAAAAGAATGTTAACACATAAAATTGTGCACATAGAATACGTGCATGTTAACTGTGCAAAGATGAATAAGAAAAAAGTGAAGAATTTTTCGCATACGTTGCGATTTCTTAAAGGAGTGCTTTTCTTCCTTCATTTAGAAGTCGATGCCCCTTCCTTTCGAGGGCGGAAAACCTAAGCCGTGTTTTGACACATTGACGGGCCGCGTGAAGCGACGACATTTTACGAAGCACGCGCGTGTCCTGTTTTGCTTTCCCGCGGAACCTTTTCGGAAGAATCCCGTCCTGTAGTGGGGATGCACGTGCCACGGCTTTTGTTATTGAGATTGTCGTAACGTCGAAGTCGGAGTCGGAGGCGCGTGCACGAGGACCGACCGTTTGCGCATGCACGACCGTGTTGCGCGTCGAGACCACGAGGAAGGGTAACATGGCGGCACCCGATCGCCGTTAGTCGATGCACGGATGACGGTACATTTGGATGGTTATTTTCTCGAAACCGACGGGTATGAAAGACGATTGTGACTGAGACACCCGCTGAAAAACTCTAGTGTTATAACGCGACGTGGTTTGATCTCTATTGTCACAATTAGTTGATACGAATTATACGTGTGTGTCAATCTTTGCCATTCGCGTTAAGTGACATTTAATTGTTCGTAACGCAATTGAACAGCTGGTTGTCAAACAAAGTTCGAAGTGGCGAAAGTGCTTTTGTAATTAAATAGTTCCGATCTGCGATTGAGCGGCGATTGACAACGGGAGAGGAGAACGCGGTGAATCCAGATTTGAATATCTTCCTTTGAACATCTTGGAATCGCATCTTCGGTGAGTTATTGTATTCATATCTTGTAATGATATAAAATGTTTGTACTCTTGTTTAGAAGGATAATCATTTTCGATCTTGTTCGCTTCTGTATGAATTTAATTATCAATTGACAAGCGTTATATATTTCATTGAAAGTTCTTAAGCTACGAATTACTTGAAGTAAAACTTTCTATCCATGTAATCTGTAGTTTTGAGTTTTAAGAAAACATAATTATTGACTAACAATTTATTAGTAATTGCCTATGAAGACTCGTATCATTATATACGCATTAGCCAATACAGAATTGGTAAAAAATGTAATTTACTATTCTGTTACTGCACCCGAACATTATTCAGTGGTTTGTATAACATAATTAGGATAATACTTTGTAATACCGAATTAATTCAATCATACAATGCTAGTACAAAGAGACGATTGACTGTACTCTCTAGATTTCATCATCTTGGTTGCGTTTGTAATTCGACTCGAAAATATAGGCGCGGTTTATGTTCGTTTTCAAAGTTAAATATGTACGTACACCGTACACGATGTAACAGACGTATCACGTAGCGTACATAGTCGGACAATTAAATGCGGTTCTAACTCAACACACTCTGAGCAAATATAGCGTATCGATATCGGCACGTGTGGTCTACTTAAACCAGTTTTCTATCGCAAATAATAATGCCCGGCACTGCGATTATTTGCCAACATCTTCGGGAGTGTTAATCAATAACATTTTAATGAGTCCGACAAGTGTATATAGTACTTGCTTTATTTGGATAACGAATTCGCAGTCGCTGCGACACGTACTATGATTTATACTTTTTAAATAGGACAGTATTTATTTATAATTAAAGCTATCGTGCAGTCTGCAATATTTGATACAATAATTCATTTTATAATAAAATATTTGTCCCAATAATTGAGAGAGCAACTGTCTTTCAATTGTACTATTTCCGCCTTTTATCAGAGATATCAATCAAAAGACCAATTGTTAATCCGGGAAAATTTTCGAATCTATCGAGGATCGCGTTATCGTACAATCATCACACGTTTCTATCGGACCGACATCGTTTAATTGTGCAATCTATCGGTAAAGAACCACCGCCGCCGCGATCCTACTCTAAACTTAAACCCGCGTCACCTCGATTTCCTCCTCGGTGTCCTATGAAAGGCGAAGCCCACGCTTGATTTCACTTAAACTCTTATTTTAGTCTAGACTTGTAAAACGTGCGCCGATATACGTGATCGCACGTGGACGACATTTACGCGTGGAGGGCCGGAATGGGATACTTACTCGCTGGAAGGTCAACGAGAATTTCAATTCGATATGTCTCGTTCCTTTTAGCCACTTCATTTCTCAATATCGTACAGTCTGCAATATTTGATACAATAATTCATCTAGTAATTCGTACACTGTTTCATTTATCTTAAGGATGACAACGAAAGATTTCATTTAGACGTGAATTACTTTTACAATTAGCACAAAAGCGCAGCTGCAATCGTTCCTGGATTCAGAATTATTCGTAGAACGACCGCTGGTTAATGTAATACTGCAGGGTGCGATTGTCTGGAAACTTTTTTCGCGTGCAATCAAGACTACGGCGCTCTTTTAATCAACAAGAGGAGTCTGCTAATGCATTGGAACGGGTCGCGCAGCGTTACTTGCGCCAGGACACGTGTAAGCCGTATGACGAAGTTTGCAGATTTAATATGTCACGTCGTTGATCGTGTTACGAGTTGTTTCGTCACAGGCCAATTTATCGATTCAGAACTGGGGAAAAATTGTGTGCCTGCCACGTGTGCCAGGTCTACTGATTCGTATGACGAATCCGAATATACATTTGATCGATGATCCCTCTTGGAATCGTGAACAAATGTTTCAAAGGAACAGGTGTTTGAATAACAGATTTATACAATTTGCACAAGATTCCAATGGTTTTAATCCATGCACAATTGTCCTTTGCAAATGTTTGTACTGGCAAGTTCGTTGGAAGATGAATCCATTGATGCAAGAATTTCACAGCCGTGTACAATTGTATTTCGATTATTATTGGGTCAGCTGCGTTACATAATAACGCTATGTTTCTTTGAACTGCTATTTTATAATCATTACATAAGACGAAGATAATTTCTCTGTCATCCATATAATTCTCGGCTTATAAACAGTAATTCGGGCTTTATTAAAACTGAGTAACGCGTTTATTGATGATATTAATAAACAACGTAAGCCTGTGTTAAATCATCGACTGACGTTGAATCATTCGCTTCGAAGACACGTGTAAGTAAGTACGTTATACTGCTAATTTCCCGCTGTAGTATCATGAGCCACGAGCATGAATCACCTACGGTCAAGTTTAAACAAGGAGATTCTAAATCCAGTTGATCCTCGGCATTATGAATTATTAATGAAATAATTTTATAATTTTGCCTCGCGGAATGGAAAAAAAATTGAGTCGTTGACCGGATGAAAAATTCCCCAGCACAATTAAAAATTTATTTGAGAACATGCAGCTTGACGACTCGTGGCGTTGCATGGACTTGGCCTTTTTCATTTTTGTCAGCAGGCTGCAGCGTGCAGCCGTGCAGACCCACGTGACAACAGACGTGTGATCGGAATTATGGCCAACGTGAGGCAACGTTATCGGCCAATCCCGGATATCTCACGCGAACCCAACCGTGCCACGTTCTTTCATTTTAATTTCGTTAAGTGTCACGAGCACATACACGAAATTTGTACCTCTCGTAGAACTAGTCCGCTACTAAAAATTAGACCAAGTTTAATACACATTTATGAGTCTGAGAATAGTATTCCTGAAAACGCAAAAATAAACGGCTTTAGCTTTAATACAATTCGTCGTCCTTGATCTACTATTTTAAAGGGTATTTACAAATTGCAACACTTCGCAAAAATCGACACGTGTTCGAGCGGAATCGTAAAACACAGCATTTTTTTCGTGGAATTCAGTTTTATAGCTGACAATAAAAAAGTCGAGTAATACCATTTCTTGGAAAGGTAGACAGTCTGGCGGTTTTTGCATTTCCTTCCTTTGAAATGACTCACCAGATCCATATGCATATTAGGTGTGCTTTGATAATTAACTTACAAATAGAATGACTAGTTTCTTTGCATTTTTTTTTTCCTTTCTCCTGAAGGGACTTTAGAACTTTAAACCCCTCGGCTGGCCGCGATCAAAGTGTGCATTATGCATCAACGCTTTTCTCCACGCTCGTATTCCCCCATCGGGAAGCAAAAGTGAGGACCGAGAAGAATGAAAGGGACTGCGTGCAAAAATAGTTGCGACGATAGGGCGGCGGGGGTGAAATGAGGAGAGCCAATAAAAGAGGACAAGCTTGCTGATTGCAGGGTGCAGATCTTTTGCTTCAATGTACGTGTGTAGTAATAGAACCGAGCAGATAGACCACAGATTTTTATACAAATTAAAACACGATGATGTTAAATATATTAGAAATGTAAATGGAAAGTTCTTTAATTATTTAAGCATTAGGTATTCATTGCATGCGCATACATCTTTTATGCATCTATATTTATTTATAGTATGGAACTTTTTCAAATGCATAAATCATATTTCTAATGATGACTTTCTAACTAACTGATAAATTAACTCGTCGTGTCAATGAGTTATGCGTCACCGTTGCCGTGTTATTGCGAAACGGATTTCGAGAACGGGAACGTTTGTTCGTTCACTCGTGGTCGAGTATCCGTCGCTACGTCGAGAGAAACGTTGCCAGACGGTGGGCTCCTGGGGGGAAACAAGGGGACATCGTACGCATCCCCCACCGGTACATCACCGAAAAGCGCTGCGTGAGGACGCACAAGCAAGCCGAGGTCGACGAACCCGGCAGCGGTGGCCACGTGTATCCACCAGCCACGGGAATATCCCGTCCTTTTACCGCGAAGGGCGCATGTAGTATGAGAGGCGGTCGTCAGAAGCCAGTCCGGGTCACGTGGTGACGGTGTTACCCACCTATTAGCGAGACACCGAGGCGTCTTCGAGAGGGGAAACGTTTGCACGTGGCTGTACTTGAAATTGTTGCAGAATGCAGCGACCTGCAATTGACTTCGAGAGCTGAACAATACGAGTTTCGAAACCACGGAGGATTTCTCTGTCAGATGGCAAAACGTGATACGTTCAATGAGAATTGGCCGCCGCTACTTTTATGCTTTTTATAAAGAAACACGAGAATTGCATATAATTATTTGTTAATGCGAATTAAACTATATTAATGTACATTATTATTTTTGAAAGGAAATTAGATTCGTATGTAAATCGGGTGTTTCGATGACACGGTCATATCGGGTGGTCAATTAACAATGTATCGCACGTGGGATCTTAGACAGCTCGTGAAACAATAATAGACGATCGATAAAGCCGTCACGCTAGTAATCTAGTCACTTTTATGACTTTATCAATCATGCATATCTGAATAGAATAATAAGGTACGTTTTCCCTGGAATTGCTAACAAATTGAGTTGCGAAATGTTACAGTAAATGTTTTTCCAAACGTCGATTGACTTCATCAGATTAAAACTCTGCGAAATTGTAAGGGAATACAATAATTTCTATAGAAGTCTGCTATCGTGCATTTTATTACTTGGTAAAGATTGTACAGAATACGAAGTGTAATTAATTTCGCTCGTACACATAGTCTTATTTATAACGAGTATTTTTATAACGGTGTTTATCGGTGACACGTGGAGGCGCGATAGCTCTCCTCTGTCGTTCTTTCTCTTTTCTTTAACTATCCGAGTGAAAAGAAATGTTAATCCGTTCACACAAAAGTTTTATTCCACGCGTAACGCTGCGTGAATGGAAGTAACGATAAAAATATAACAATAACGTCGACATAAATTCCTACGGCTCGTCGCGTATCATAAGGGTATCCCTTGACCTTTGACTTATCATAACTATGACTCTAGTCTCGCTGAATTTAAATTAAAGACATTACAAATCAAAAGGAGAGCCTTAGATATCTCTTTTACTTATGATATTA